TTTTAAAAGGGTCAAAACAAACTTGTGACTTTCAAAATAAGTAAAACAAACTTATACTTATATAAACATTTGAATAATTTTCCTTGTATAAGGACAGATTTAAAAAAGAAAAAGCAGTGTTGTCAAAAGCCCAAACTTAGACGATTAGAGTTCAGTATTGTTACACTGATTACACACCGCTGTCATTATGTGTCCCTCATGTGTAGCTTTGTAACCTTCATCACCTGACCCACATGTGAGCAACAAACAATATCATGCCTCTGCAACAACCACCTCGCAAGTGGTTGAATGACAAATGTGAGGAATTAGCCTATCCGTGGTTCATCCATTGCCGTTTTTATTTATTTTCTCATCTCTGGTCATGACAATTTTGTAAACTAAAATTGGTTCTAAAACATCTTTCCTGTTTTAAAAAAAGTCTGAAAAAATGAAATTCCTCCAAGAAGACTCTACGTGACTACAAATTCTACTAAACCCCTTATCCCACTTTGTTGACTTGTTTATTATGAATACTTTTTTTTGTACTTTTTCACATTCTTGCTCGAAACTTCCTCAAACTCTCTCCATCCTTCTCCAAACACACTAAACAATGTCCATATGACTTTGAAACTCTTAACGAAGGCCGTTTGTCTCACGCACTGGCAAACCTCCGTGTCGCTCCTCTCTGTCGGCCTGCGTTCCTCCTCTCCGGCCTGAACGGGAGCTAGACGGGAGCTGACTTGGCTGAAAGTTCCATGAGGCCAGGGTCCAGCGAGCGTTCACCCAGGCTGCCCCGCGCTCCGCCCTGCTTGGTTTCAGCCGGTAACTGAGCGTGTACTATTTACTTTGGCCCGCAAATGCAATCCCCAGTCCCAGAGCTGGTGTGAGGGTGCTGCCCGGCCCCACCCATACCCACGGGCGCACTGGAAATGTACGGTCACAGTTTGAGAGCCGCCTCAACTTAAGGGGAGTTGCTCCAAGTTTAAAAGTGCAAACGAGGTGCAAAGTTAAGTGAAGGAATAGATTGGAGCAGGTTGAAACTGCACCGTGTCCGAGTGCGAGAGAAGGGAGTGGAAGGAGGTTAGCTCTGGATTAATACATTGTTTTCATTCAATTGTATTTAAAAAAAGAAAAGAAATACCCTTGTCATCTACTCTCTGTAAAATTTCTGCAAAAAAAGAAACAAAAATAAGATTATATTTTTTTTGTCAATGTCAACTTAAAGCTATAGCCTAACTTTCAAACCACACCAAAATGCAACTACTGTATGATAGCATCCATCAAGTTCCTAGCTCTAAAACAGTCTTCTATCACTAGTTTTTACATACAGTACATGTATTTTCAGCCTTTCAAATCTTCAGATAAGCTTTTTCAGCTTAAAAAGGAGAAAACCAACCTCATTCATCAGCTCTCAGCCCAAAAAGCAAAATGTGACTCACAGAACTCTTTTTTTATACTTTGTGTGTGTAAAAGAATTTATGTTTTCTAATAAGATGAAGACAACATGTTGTCGTCTGATTTGTTCACATTTTGCTTCTATAAGCCTTTTCTGTTCAGACAACTCAGTCTGACAGCTCAGTTGGTAGAGCATTGGCCTTCAGGCCTGAAGGTCGTGGGTTCAATTCCCACCTCTACACCTTCTCCACCGACTCCCACTGATGACTGCTGTCGTTGTGTCCTTGGGCAAGACACTTTACCCCACTTTGCCCAAAGCCCCCACTGAAAGATCAAGGCTATGCTCACACTCAGAGAGCAGCCGTCCTCCTGTGGACTCACCACCTGCAGAGGATCAGTGAGGGGCTGGTACTCTGTGACTTGGGTGGCATCTCTGATTGCCACCCCCCTGACCCAGAAATGGATTAAAGGGTAGAAAATGGATGGATGGATGATAACAAGTGTTCCGACTGTGACACCTTCTGCTTGTTGTTTGGCCATACTCTTCCACACTATGACATAAAACATGTCAATCTCTACCAACAATATTGCAAAGTATGGTTTTAATGTTCCATTATGCAGGTTTTTCTGCCATCTGTGACTAGGCCAGGGTCTCTCACTTTTTTATCTCGGACCAACCGCTTAGTTAACCCCACCACAATCCCTTCACATTGATATAACGAGACATGCATGTGCATATTAATGATAGGAGCAAACTTGTCTTTTATTACATTGTTCCATTTCTTGTGGTACCTCAGCTTTATATAAATATATATAAGAGAAACATCTCATCTCTAGATTAGAAGTTAGACTGATTCATGATGGGGGCGACTTGGACAAAACACAAGGAGAAACATGCAAACTCTGCACTTCACTCTGTCACAATGTTACCACAACTTTGCATTTTAAACCCACTTCATCCCTGCTGAACATGGCACATTTCACCTCTCACAGTCTCCAGCTCCCCCTCCGCACACACACTCCCCGCAGACACAGTTGCCCACAGAAGAGCCATGCAGCGCGGCCAGCCAGGAGACATTAAGAGAGCCCGCTAATCTGGAGCTCTGTGCCGATGTCTGCCGGGGGAATGGGAGAGGCCTCTTGGTGCCTGTTCAAGAGGCCCTCCACCGCTGCAACTAAAGATGTGTAGGCTCAGCACTTTGCACAGTAGTCTGATAAGGACACGCCACTGAGCAAATAAAAGGCCTTGGCAGAGTGGATGGAGTGGATGGAGAAGTCACCCTCTTAAGTAAGAGACTTTGAAAGACCATATTAAAACTATACCTTTTGCCACACTTGACTATAAAAGCAGGATAAAAAGCGTATTTACAAAATGATTTGAAATGGGACACAAACCAAAACCACATTGTTAAGAAAGGTCGTCAGCGTCTCTGCTTCGAGGGAACTTGGAGAATTTAACCTTTTATGGCTTCACCATGAAAAGTTAGCTTGTTTGTTCTATGACTGTGTGGTTCAACATCACGGCCAAAGAAAGAAGAGCTCTAAACAAGATAGCCCGCTCTGCTCAAGGAGAGCTCCAAACAAGGTTTTCTGATCTGCCAAAAGTCTGTGAGCTGCCTGTACTGGATTCTCTTCATCAATGAATCTTCTGGCCAGTCTGGAAAAGCCACGTTCTAGCTTCTTCCTTCTGGGAGAAGCTATTGTTCCTCAAGGTATAAAACATCTCTCCATCCAAGCTTCTTTTCCCAAACTGTTACCAGATTGAACAACATTATGGTTGATCTCTCACGTTGTTTCACAGTGACAATTGTTTACGTACTTTTGTATGTGTTTTTTATAATTGTACTATGTTTTAGTCTTTACTACAGCCAACATGATACTTCTATTGCAGAAGGCAATTTGTTGTTTGTTGAAATCTAGGACCGTTCATACAAAAACCATGGATTTAAATAATTTTTCAAGTATTTAATAAATGAATCTGTGTTGACATGCTCTCAAATGTATGTACAAAACAATACAAAATAACTAACATCTGAAAAAAATATGTTATTAGAAAGTGTTTTGATTTGTTTTAACAGCAATTGAACAGATATTTTCTTATTTAAATGTGTCCGTTTATTTTCATTTTCCAAACTGGATTCTGTCATCATTTAGGAGGCTAATTTTAAGGTTACTGTATATGAGGTGTCATCTGTTAGCCGTTGAATTTCAAATCGCAAATTATCAATCAACCAAATCAGTCTATCTCAAAATTAAAAAAAACACGCAAAAACAACCCCAGGCACCAATCTCCCCACTTAGCGTGCAACAGTGATGCTTTTAACCCTGTGAGGACCAGTGTTTACGGAGCATTTATGGAGCAGTCCCATTGTGAGGGACAGGGGCCTTACAGCCGGGTCATCAGCAGCTACAGCCACTTTACTGACCTGTGTGAAGTCTGGACAAACACTGGGCTTATCTGTACGACTTGAGGAGTGGACACTACACGAGACAATTACAGACTGTGGGCACCAACGCAGCAGAGTGGGCCGCTGTGGTCGGACAGAGTCATTAGTGGTAGTGGTGGTTCAGTAGCTATAGGATGAATACAAATTCTTAAAATACAATGAAAAATTAGTATTAGAAAAAAAGTATTTCACAAATAGCTGCTTTTTTCGATAACCTTTAAGCGCTAATCTGTTTCCCATGTATGACACATGCTGATAGCACTAACTGAAAAAAGTTTAAGTAAAATGTGAACAAATCAGATCTCAACAAGCTATCTTCATGTTCGTGTCAGAAAGAGCCCCGTGAGAGCTGATTGGTGGAGTGAGTGTGGTCATCTCTTTTTCAGTGTTCTGTCCTGAAAAAGCTGATTTATCGGTAAATTTGTGACAGAGGCCAAAAAATATATGCATGGGAAAACTAGTGATAGAAACAAGAGCAGGAGACGACTTGGATACATTTGATTACATACAGTAGTTAGATTTTGTCTCTCTGGTTTGGATCCCAGCTTTAAGGGACAAACCATTAAGAGACAGATTTAGTTAAATACAGATTATTGTACTTTCTCTAGTAAATCATTTTAGATCTATTGTTACTGTATAATGTTTGTGGTAACTATAAGGCAGAAAAAAGCACACTTTTTCAAACAATACAATTTCCCCAAATACAACACAAGTCTTTTTCAGACTTCTTTTCTTCTTTTTGACATTCTAAATCTGCTAGATTGCCCCGTCTTTGAAGAGCACCTGTTATTTATGCCTTCTAGTACTCGTACCCTCTGTAGCACTCACCTTCCTTGCTTTAAATAAGCCTTTTTCATTTGAATGTTGTTGTTACATTTCCTGGTTTACTTTGTTATTTGCTAATTGTGACCATCCAAATGTATTAATAATGTATACATCCTATATCCTCTAAATTGTTCAAACCATTAAAATGACTCGCGACACGTTCCTCAGCCATATTACTCTCCTATTGTTATTTTGGCACATTCATAATATCAGTCCTGCTCATGACAGCCATTCTTTTTGTACTTTCACTCGATTGTGCGATTAGCCCCTCCCCTGGGACCCCATATTCATAGCACAGCGGCCACATGTATGGCTCCCCGCACACAGCCACTTGTGCGTCATTGGCTGCGACAGATGCCGTATGGAACGCTGTATTGTGAGGAGATGGTGGTGGTGAGGGGCCCCCGGGGGTCCCTCCTGTTTGACACTACACCAGGGATCAGCTGTGACACTCTGACACTGATCCTGCGTGTCGCACATCGGCCCCAGTGTGGGCAGATTTACATGGGACAGTACTGTACAGTGAGATGTGACGGGCTCTCATGTGCTTTCTGCTCTGTCCAATCGATACACAATGGTACTGCTAATGATTTTAGATGACTCATCATTATATCTGTTCATTTGTAAACTGTACCATGATTTATAGACTTATCCATTGTGTTTTTACTAACATAAATAGTCTTGTAAAAAGAATTATGTCATGGAAAAAAATCAGCATACATTTAAAAAAAGATTCTTTATCTTTTGCATACATGTAAGAAACAGCCCTGTGAGTCACTAAATGATGCTTCCGGCTGAGAGAGCGTGATCTTTTCTGTTTGCATGCACAAACTAACAATGGAATCAAACTGTTTTGAGGGCACTTTCAAGTGATGCCAGAAACTACAAAATAATCCTATATTATCATCTATATTAATATAAAAAATAGTTAAAACAGGTCCACCCCTCGGTATAACCATCATCAATAAGATTTTCTGGTGGAGAATAGATGGATCAATGATGAGGGGCCTCAGCGATCAAGGATTATAATGAATTGGATCCAATCAGGGGCAAGTGGGGGTGGGTCTATCTCGCTCTTGTGTTAAACAAATCTCTCTCCATCTGCAATATTTAAGTAACTGAAATTCACTTGAACTTGTTACAGGAATTTTATTGCATTGTACATTTTTTGTGTGAATTGTAAGATGGTTACCCCAGCCTACATTTGTGTTGCTTGTTATCAATGTTTAATCAATTTTTGTCGCTGCACATATCCTAGTCTGCACTTTGTTACAACATAAAAATGCTGTCTCTGCTCCTTTTCATCTGTCTTCTTAATTTAACCTCCCTAAAATATGAACGGATCTCCCGCTGCAGGACATTTTTCACCATTGTACAAATCACTTATTTCAGATAACCTCAAATGATTCATCCATCAGGATTGCTTTGGACTGTCCTCTCCCCGCTCTGATTCATAATAGCAGGGAGTCAAATGTGCGTTTCAAAGACTTGTTGGAGTACTTCTGCTGCAGGCCTTTTACTCTAACGTAAAGAAGAAAAAAAGACAATATTTTCTTCTCTTTGAACTCTGTCTATGTTAACAAGCAAGGAAGATGTGCCGGCAATTGGTCATGTGCTCAGGTCTCTGCACTGTCTTCAAAATGCTGTGTGTGGATTTAACATGGGGAGGCAGCGTTTCATTTGAAAGTCTTACTTAATAATTACTCACTAAATTTATGATTCTTGTACTTCTCTTTCAGATGTTGTTTGTGTTGGAGAGAAAGTCATGTTGTGTCTCATTTGTTGTGCCCTTGTGACATCATAACTTTAAAAAAGCATATTATTTTAAATCTTTGCTGGTCAAAAGTAAGAATATTGTCTTAGTTTAGATCATTTTTCTAAAATTCATGGACTAATCCACATGAAGCAAAAACGGTTACAAAGTTCAAATTTTTTTTGTTAGCATCAATGGTCTCATTATTTTCTCATTGAGGTGTCTTGAAGTGGTGACAAAATTCCAAAAACAAATGCTTGATGTTGGCCAGTAGAAAGGACTTTCAGTAATAAGAATATTAAGGTGGGTTTATGAAGCTACTCATTGCTAAATAATGATCTGGGAAAACATTTGGACATTTTCTTTTCAACATTTCTTGTCTCTTCCTTTCCTAAGAATTGGTTTGGCACCTGCCGGAAATAATAACATATATTGCGCGTTTCATCCATCCACTTCCCTCACTTTATGGTCATTCCACCCACTTTTAGCTTTATGCTGTTAAATACCTTTCTTGCAAACCGAAAAAAATATTTTAAATAGACGTTTATAAAGACAATGACATGATAAGCTGCAGTACCAGAGTTTGCCCAGCGGAGGCCCTACTTCCCTCACTCTGTCTCCTATGTCAGGCGGCGTGTGGCTGATCCCAGAGCAGGGCATGTGGGTCAGGACTCTCTGGTCAGGAGCTCCGCACAAGAGCCAACACACTCTGGTCCCACGGGCAAGGTAACTACAGTGCACCGCTCACTGGAGCCACACTGCTGGAATTAAACCAATATTTTTTCCTTTTTGAGAAGAGTGGTCATGGAATAGTAGTAATGTAATTAAAAAATGTATACTATTTTAATGCAGCCTAAATACATTTATTAATTTGTATTTTCAGTAGTTTTAACGAGTGTCCTTCCATGATGAACCAAGATGCAGGTCCTTCTTTATTGATGATTCTGATATTTTTCAAACTCGATTAGTCCTCTATCTCATATTTCCCCTTCCCATGTGGGTAATATATGGGTATTTATCTGGTTTTAGTTTCTTGTAACTAAATCAGTTCATATTAGCAACTAAAGTGCATTGTGCAACGTTCCCTTTTCTGTTACCTGCTTGTTGCCGTGGAGATGCTTATCTTTGCTTTGAATGAACGTCAGTAATAGTATAAAACATGCACAGTATTCCATGACAGAAGTTTTTGCTGCTCAAAAACCTGCATTTCTACATGGGGTCGCCTCTTCTCTCTGCAGATCAGACTCGCGCAGGGAGTAGGGCTCTTTTAGATTGTGCCCATACGATACATTTATTATTTATAGTTTATTTATTTGTTTTTAGACTTGAGTTTCTCTAAAAAGTTGAATAGCATATGTAGAACAATCCAGACGCAAACTGCAAACAACAGGGAGGTTGTGGAATTCACCTTTAAATCTAACTAATCTAACTTTAAGTCCATCCAAATCCAAATCTTGTTAATTTTTGCAATGATAATCTTTTGCTTACTGTGAAAACTGAACTGTTTAAACAAACATACTTATTGGAGTTTTACAATACAAGTGAAACTCTTTAAATTAGAATATGATTTTTATTATGCCTTATTCTATGATCGACTTTTGACTTGTTTGCACTGAGAGCCAAAGCAATTTCCTAGTCTGTGACTTTCTGTTACTTACATGGCAATAAAAAATGATTCCGATATGTCCATTTATGTCTGTAAATTCTCTGAAAATGTGAAACTAATATATGACAGAATCAATACACGCAAAGTGAGATCAAGCCTTTGTATGTTATAATGTGGATAATATGCTCACAGATATTGAAAAACCTAAATAAAACATCAACATTATAACAAAAAAAGTCTTGACATATTTCTCTCTGCAGGTAATGAGTCCATGGCATATATTGGCATAAGTTAGTGACTGAAATAAACGCACATTTGAATGCTATTCTAATTTTCAGAATTTTACGTACAAACATTCCAATGCAATACTATTGCACATATAAAATAATATTGGCCTATTGCACAATCATACAGTACATTATCCCTGCCCTGTTATGTACACGTCCTATTTTTTCTCCATATTTGAATGTTGTCATGCAGCTCCCGGCACTGAGTGTGTTCCTCCTGCTGCAGGTGCTTCTCCTACTCGCTGCGGTCATCCCTCGGTATCAGCCCCTGGTTTGGAGCTGTGTGGCCCGTGAAAGGGATACGAGAGGCGCTCCTTTGTTTCCTGGCGTGCACTCACATACTTTCTGAGTTCAAGATAAGCCCCTGCGCCATGAAAACCCAGCTTTATGCTCGCTAACGGAGAGTAGCCCAAAACCGCCAAGCAGGTAATGCCTCCCCAGCTTCTGTTTATTAAAACCGCTTGCTCAGATTTGAGGCCTTGAAAGAATCGCAGGCTGGGCGGATTGGGGAGAGTCAGACAGACGGATATGGTTGGAGGAGTAGTAGTAAAGGGGGGTCCATGGCTGTTTCCTGAAATCGGATTAGCAGCTACTCTACACTTAGATCGAAGGGACTGGAGGCTTGGGTTTAGCCCCCAGCGCAGGACCACCCATCAGGTAAACAGGTACATTACAGCAGGGGCCGAAGGGAGAGCGGATCAGGATTCTTGTGAGGCGTGGATTCGGAGCAGGATGGGTAGAGCAGGCCTCTGGAGCTAAAGCTGGGGATGAAAAAGGTTAGGTTAGGTTTGTGTACAGGGAGAAGTCAGACGGTGAGGTACAATGTGGTATGATTTTGAAAATAACATTGCATAATATAGTTACACATGCTTTGGTTGTGGCTGGTGTGATCATTTAAGGTTTGAGAAGGTTTGAGGTAGAGTTATATACATATACATATAGGTTTGACATGTTTAGATTATTGAAAATAAAAATAGACAGAATAAGTAGAAGGATTTTACCATTAGGGTTTAATCTTTGATAAACCTGGGGTACCTAACATTGAAGAGAAGTGAAAAGCCAACCAGAACTCAGCCAATCAGTACGTTAAAGATAAACTGCTTTCTAAGAATATAAAGAATGAAGACAGCGTGTTGTGGGATTATTTGTTCACAAAATGTTACTTAAACGAGACTGATTCTGTTGGGACAAACACAATGTCTTTATGAAACAGAAAAAAGTTAGGTACTCCAGATTTAAGAACTATTCTAAAGTAAATTGGGTTTATTCCTGGAGCGCTTTTCAAAGACATTCACAAAGTCAAATAGATATTTAGATTGATACTTTATTGATCCCCGTTGGAGAAATTCAGGTGTCCAGTAGCAGCAGAAACACATTCATCCATACAAACAAAACAAATAAATACATTCCGGTAATTCTTAAAGTAGCTAACAATAGTAATAAAATGCAACAGCGCTTATATGCATATGTAACGCTATTTACTGCACGTGTATTTATTATCTTCATTTCAATACTGATAATGAATAAATACCATGTTCTACTGATAATAAGCCTATCCCGCCTCATCCATGTATTAGAATCACTTGTCAAACCACATTGTTATACTACTAGAAGTCAGAGCTGCAATGTGGGTGCAGGTCTTGCCTAATGGAACTACAAGTTTGTTTTGTAGCTTCTATACTGCCAGTTTTTGATTCATACTTACTGTAAGAAGCAGAGTTTGAAATGATAGTAGCTTGACTGATCAAGGCTTATAATAGAAACCAAAATATTGTGATGTGAAAAAAAGCTTTCGTGTGTTTTTTGTTGAGAGTACATTTATAGCTCGAGTACCTAATTTTCAAACTGCATTTTTTTCCTATTTCAAAACGTAAATCTAAGTTTTTCATTTCTCTAACACTATTTTTCACATGCATGTATTATTTATCATATTGAGATCAGTTTTATAAGACATTAATGTGAAAAAGGCTACTCTCACTCTTCCAATCAGCCCAATGCACGGGGCTCTTTTGTACATATACAGTATACGCAAAAGAGGAACTGTTTTCTAATAACAGTCCGGAGCAAACCCAGCTCCAGATCTGAAGACGGGTCCCCAGACAATGCCCTGCGGTCACCCACTCCCTCTGACAATTCCCCTATGAGGACAAATCCACCTTTTCATAATTACTCTTCCTACTTTCTACAACATTCATCCTCAGCTTTAGATTAGGTGCCACCACAGACCTTATTTAAACCTTTGCTGCACTCGCTGACAGAAGTGACCGCACAAAAACAAAGTCACTTAAGCAGCCACCACTGAAACTAACAAAAGAAAAATAAAGAACGTCAGCAGTGTAACTTCTAAAACATATTCCCAACTCCCAATTTATGAACTTGCCCCTTGTTGTTGGACCTTCACCAAAGACCCTCATATCTGCTCTCTAAGATATCTAAACCTGTCATGCCACTACCCCTCTTCTCTCCCACACACACACACACACACACACACACACACACACATATATCCACAAACTCCTGGAAATGAGTTTTTGGCAAGTGGCTCCTTCCAGCACACTCCTGTCTCCAGCGTGCCACCGAGGCTTTGTTAGTGGGGCCGGGGAGCCTTCAGACCCCCATTATGCAGCAGGGCTCAGCGGGGCAGAAAGAGCACCAGTGTTGTCTGCAGTCATGTGGGCACACAGGCATTATGCTCTCTTCAGTGGCACCGTGGATATTTGTGAGCCGCGCAAACACACACACACACACACACACACAGGCAGAGGGGAAGGGGACGGCCGCTAGGAACAACTTCTGATAATTGGGAGTTATATAAGTTCCCCAAATCCGCACAGGGGGATTTCAACTTTTTTTCCCCCACTCTCCTCATTGTGTGTTTTTGTGAAGGCCCCACTGCGAAGGTGACAAATCCCTTTGACATAAATCATTGTGTAAAGGTTAAATCCGTACAGTCAAGTCCTCGCTAAGAAGAGCCCCTAATTGCCTGCTTTGCTGCAGCTTTGTCAAGCAGTGTTTTACAAATGAAACAACAGGCAGCAGCAGAATTGTGTGCGCAGGCCGGGCATCACGCTGCGCCACGCACTACACGTGTTTGTGTATCTTTGTTTGGCCACTCAGTGTGACAAATAACAGCCTGTGCTCAGGGCTGGACAGGGAATAGTGTGTCTTCTATATAAGTACTGCAAAGGCCATGTTATTTTCCTCAGAAATGTTTACACTTTTCGCACACACATCACAATGGTGGGGACTGAACAAGTCAGTCTTGAGTCAGGTTTGTAGAGCCTCAGACTAGGGACTTGACTTTAATAGTGAGGCCTGTGATTGGACTAAGTGTGAGGTTTACTCCACAATAAAATGGATTTGTTTGAGCAAGAGAGATGATAACTGAATACAAAATACATGGACTTGGAGACTCTCCTGTCTGAGATTTTTAATCCATAGCCTCTAAGATCATCTACCTGTCTTAGACTTTCAACTTGACTTGTCTCGTCTTCCCCAAGAGGACGAAAACATAATTTGAGCTGTAAAGATGCATCACATAGCTTTTTGGGTTAAATATATATTACATTCTGTCAAATCATCTTCGAATCATAGACAATCACATGATTAAATTAAGAAATAGTTACTTAGTAGTTAAAAGCAAAGGGTGCTTGTATTCTGGTTGCTCTGAAACATAGTCAGCACAATGGCAGAAGAAACAACAAGCATGAATCACTCATTCATAACTTCAGTTTGTAAATAAGAAGTGAACACATTACTTGGTTAAAAGCTCTTAAAACTCTTTAATATTCTATGTTATAAGCACTTCAAAAAAAAATTTCCAGACAGTAATGTTATACCTAGTAGAAAGTGTTATATTGTTCGTCCACTCATCCTACTCTCTAACCTCTCTGTAGTTAGTATTTACATCAGCAGTTGCGTCAGGGGCCCTCGTACATGCGCTAAGCCGGATGACACTGGGGGGCCTCGCGCACAGATGCGTGAGGCCCCTGTGTGGTAATACATGAACTGGTAGAATAAACGTTGTTGTGTCTGCTGCTGGACTGTATGTAAATATGTAAATAGGACCAAGGGAGGAGAGGGGCCCACATCACAAATTCATAATGCAAACTCAGCGGAAGCCATGACGCAACATACGTGCAATTTAAAGAGACGAGGCACATTCTGAACTTGTTTGGGAGGAGAGCTGTGACAGCTGCTGAATTTAGTTGATTGTCTGTTTGAAAGTACAAATATGAATATCATAGTCAATGTCAAGTGTTTGTTTTCATTGTAGTAGAGGTAAGAGAGTCAATTAGTCCAACATTTCTTCTGATAGATTCTCTCAAGTTAATTATTTTTGTAGTTTTTCTTCAGAATGGTGCTGTTCCTGTGACATGTCTTTGGTCAACTGTTTTACACAGCTTTTGGCGCTGACTTCCCACCACCAGAGGCAGGACGACACCTTCCGCAGTCCAACTTCAATTCAGGACAGACTCCCAGGTGTGTGAGAGTAAAGATGCCCCTTCGTCCCAGTTTATAGGCCCCCGAGGTATGTTTGTGTGCAAAACAACTGACGAGATAGGTAACAGGAACATCATGTGACCACTTAGAGGAAGACAGTGAGCCAGCAGTCCTCTATTAGGCCTCTATTAGGCTCTGGAACTACATGAAAACTGAACAAAGAATTCTGAACATCCGCGCTGAGATACTTATGTACATACTGAACCTATATCCATAATCAGATCCTCTGCAGATGTGTCCTATAATGTGCAATTCATGCTAATAGCACTTCCTGGTTTGCCGCGATCGCTTTTTTTGTGCATAAAAACATTATTTTTTCATTAAAACGTTCACAAATAATTCTGAAAACCGCTGTGCATGTGTATTAATAATGTGTATGTATAATGTGTTCTCTGATTAACATTTCAAAGTGTTACGGAAACGTAGGTGTAGACCAATCAGAAAGGAAGGGGGAGGGAGCTTGCAGAGCTCTGGAGCACCCAGAGGAAACCTATGCAAAAACAGGAAGAACATGCAAACTTTACACAGAAGGCAGCGTCTGGGGTTGGAATTGAACCCAGTCCCAGGACCTTCTGTGAAGCTCAAGCGCTAACCAATGCGCTACCCACAGCACCAATACCACGTACATGTTGTAGTTGCTTTGCTTTTAAGAAGTAAAATATACTTACTGTACTTTATCTAAATGCGAAACAGCTTATTCATACGTAAAAATAAATAAAAATAAATCCATGTAACTAGTTCCTGGCTCTAAAACTAGTTTTCACACGCATACATTTTTGCCTCTGTCACTATCGCTCAGCCAATCATCTCTCAGCCCAATGCATTAAAAAGTGACTCAGGACTCTTTCTTACAACTATGCAAAATATGTTTTCTAATCTCAAAATCACAGCAAGG